GTAAGTCTTTGCATTCCTTTTTAAGTAATTCCATTGTATCCCTTTAATACGTACGTTAAATGTATAGAGATAGAACTCCTATCAATTCTACAAGTTCAGATAGCGATTCTGATTTAGAAACTTTAGGGGCATTGAAACGAAAACTACTTGGTTTAAGTAATACTACATTTACTTCAGTTAAACAAAATATTAAAATGGCTCAGCCCTCACAATTAGAATTAAATTTAGCTAAGGATATGATTCCTGAATATTCAGGTGGTTCCAAAAACCTAGCCTATTTTATTAAACAGTCGGAAAGATTTATTTCATTCTTTGAAAATAAAACCGACGTTAACTGTCTTTTAAATAAGTTACTTTTCGAACAAATTAAATCAAAGATCGTAGGTGATGCGAGAGAAACATTAATTATATCTTCTGCTGAAACGTGGACTCAAGTAAAAGATGTTTTAATATCTCGTTTTGGTGATCCGCGAAATGAGGACCTTTTACTTAACGATTTAGTTACATGCTTTCAGTTATCAAATGAAAGCTATGAAAACTATTATGAACGTATCAGACAAAAACTACAAACGTTACTAGAATATGTTAATTTGAGAAATCCGAACGTTGATATCAGGATTTCCAAAACAGATTTTTACACCAAACAAGCTTTAAATACGTTTAAGACAGGTTTGTTAGAACCGTATTGTTCCCATTTATTTAATATAAATCCGTTAACAATAGAATGTTGCTTAAATGAATTGCGAAAATATGATAATAATAGACAGCAAGTTAGTTTTATGAACTTTATGAGGAACCGACAAAAGGCTCCCTCGTTTGCTAAGAAAATCCCACCTCTTCAAAATTAAAGACCTCAATTTAATTACAAACCACAGCCGAATTTCTCTCAGAATGTTCAACGTCTAGGACCTATTGTACCTTTTCGATCTCAATTTCAACCACGGCAACCTTTCCCACAACAATCAGTTAATGTACAGTCACGACCAGTACAAATGCATTATCCGACTAATTCTCAAGTTTTCGGGAAAAAGCAAGAATATAAACCCACACCAATGTCTACATCGACTAGATTTACACAACCAAAGTCTCAAAATTATTTTGCAAATACAAATACTCAACCTAGAAATTTTATTGCGGAACAACTACATAATATTGAGGATTCGGAGCAAACGCCTTGTGAATCAGAGGATTACTATCACAATCCCTCAGATTTTGAACAACAACCTCATAACAATCACGAATACGTAGAAAATGCGGAAACAGAGACAGAAAATTTTCCCGACCAGCCTCAACAGTTCGACTTGACTTAAACTCTATCATAAATCAGCCAAAACTACCATTCATTAGCGTACCACAATTTGACCTTAAAATTTTAATTGATTCAGGAGCATCAAATTCTATCATTAATCCCGAACCTGCTCAAAAATATTTTTCTAATAGTTTCTTTTCAAAGCTCTTTACCGTTACTTCTCTTAATAATTCTATTACTGACGATAAAAATATTAGCTATCCTATGTTACAAGAATACGGCATTAAAACAAACATTAATTTTCATGTAGTTAAGTGGCACAATCAATTTGATGCACTTTTAGGTAGCGAGGATTTTTATAAGCTAAGTGCGAAAATTGATTATTCTAATAAAGTATTGCAAATAGGTAATGTAAAAATACCTTTCTTAGAATATATAAATAATCACAACTTTAGGCCTTTTACCCAAAAAATTAGCAAAACGATTAAAGTACCCGTTAATATTCATGAAGGAGAAATTTTAATACCTGAAACGGAATTAGACCAACACATACGAATTCCCGAATCGATAGCTTTTGCAGAAAATGGATTTNGGATTCCTTTTGTTTGTTTTAAGTTTATTTTATACAAAAGTTTAGGTCTTTTATTTATCGATTGAGGCAGTACGAAGTCTGCCGGGTCAGCTAGTGCTTGATAAATTAATTTTTAGATCACATTTTACCCTATAAACTAACGTTGAAAGTAGTGTAGCTGCTAAAAGCTCTAATCGAGGTAGCGTATGTTACTTGATTTGAATATTTTTTATACTTTGAGTCGTAAGACACAAGATAAACAGATGCGCCATAGGCACGCTCTGACGCGTCATTGAATCCATGTAATTTTCACAGCATTAGTACATGTAACTTGTCTTGGTATTGTAATATTGTTTATGTCCTTCAACCCTTTGTTGAATGTTACTCAATTTTGGCACAACTCTAGAGGTTCATTATCATTATCATTATTATTTATTATCATTCATTATCATTATTACCCCATTCATTATCCCATGACAAGTTTAATTCCCATAAGTATTGTAAAAATAATTTAGCTATGATTACTGTAGGACCAACTAATCCCAACGGATCGAAAATGTTGGACACTTGGGCTAAAACTGTTCTTTTTGATATGCGTGAATAATTGGTTGATATATTAACTGAATAATTTAAACTATCTGAATTGGCTATCCATGAAATTCCTAAGGTTTTTAATTCTTTACTGTCTTTAATTGCTACTATCTTCTCTTCTTCCTTGTTGTCCTTTAAAATTTCATTTAATATTGCCTTTTCATTTGATGACCACTTTCTCAACTTAAATCCTGCCTGATTAAAAATTTCGGTTAACTCTTGGTAAACCTTTAACGCTTCTTCCAACGTTTCTATACTGCATAATAAATCGTCCATGTAAAATGAATCCTTTATAATTTGACATGTTCGCGGATATTTTTGTTTGTTAGCTGTCGCAATTTGTTGTAAATCTCTTGTTGCCAAAAACGGTGCGCAAACTGTACCATAAGTTACGGTATTCAATGTGTATAATTGTATCTTTTGAGAATCTTCGTATCTCCACATAATTAACTGATACTTACTGTCATCAGGGTGTATTAATATTTGTCGGAACATTTGTTTGATATCTGTGGGTTTAACAAAATTTAACTTCTAAGACAAAAACTATTTATTTACACTAATTATTATTGAACTTTAAAATACTATTAAATTATTACTAAACTTAGGTAATTATTCTATTTATTTACACTACTGTTACTATTCACTGTTCTATTTATTTCACTTCTATTACTCTCAATTTATTTCTTAATTCACTTCTGCAACGGTCTATTTACTTCTACTCCTCACTTCTACAACGGTCAATTTATTTCTACTCCACTCTGGCGATCGTCTCTTCCTTTTTATACTCCCTTGCCTCCTTTCGGGAACATTCTCCAGCCGTCCAGAAAAGTCTCGTTTTCTTTGAATGGTTTAAATGCTTTCCCGGAACGCAGGTACGACACACACGTTTACAGATACGGCGCACATGAAGAAAAGCGCCCGCGGCTAGTCGGCGAATCGATAAGCCGCTCACACACACGTATGCCCGATCGCACACAATCACGCTCGTGGTCGCTACAATAACTTACATCTTTCGAGATTTGACAAGACGAAATATTATGATGTACTACATGGATGACTTGATAGTGTTAAGTAAGGATGAAAATGAAGGATTGGAAAGATTGAAAATAGTTCTTCAAGTAGCCAAAGAGTATGGTTTAGAGATTAAGAAGCAAAAATGTCAATTTTTACAGAAGAAAGTGGAATTTTTAGGATTCATCATAGAAAATGGAGAGTAACCTACGACGACTAAACAAGTTCAATCCTTTCTAGGACTTACGGGGTATTTCCGAAATTTTGATAGGAAAAATATAATAGTTACGAGTTAGAGGTTCTCGCTATTATTCATGCTGTTAAAAAATTTAGAGTGTACCTGCTAGGTCAAAAATTTCGAATAGTGACAGATTGTGCTGCATTTCAACGTACAATGGATAAAAGGATCTCACAACAAGAGTTGCACGTTGGGCTTTACTTTTGGAGGAATACACATATGAGATTGTAGGAGAGGTAACCAAATGGCGCATGTCGATGCACTAAACAGATATCCCGTGACGCTGATGACAATTACTGAGGATATTTCTAAGGAGAATGGAGTGTATACAAATCGCACAAGGAAAAGATGAATACGTACAGGCGTTAAAGAAAATATTAGAAAACGAAGAAAGTTTACATGGCTATACCCTACGAAGTCAACCACGTCTAAAGAGGTTGTAGATTGTTTAAAGAAACAGCAACAAGTTTTTGGTAATCCCGCAAGGATTATTAGTGACCGTGGCACAGCTTTTACTGGCCAAGAATTTCAAACGTATTGTGCTGAAGAAGGAATAAAACATGTGTTAATAACTACTGGTGTCCCACGAAGTNCTTTCTCTTGAATTCTGTACTATCTAATTCTGTGTATTCCTAGAAACTAGTGTCTTCACCCTCTCTCTCACTACTTTTCCTTCTAGAACATTCTATCAAAATTACTAACAACCCTATCCTATAAATACTCTAAAATTTCTTATCTCAAGACAGTCTCTCGTCTACCGCTACTACCACCTTTCGTAAGTGCCTTTGCCTATTTGCTACATTGTTTCATTTTTGTTGTCTTTGTTATTGTTATTGTTATTGTTGTATTATCTTGTTCTTTCTGTTACCTTGTTCTCGTTTGTTTGTTTCACTCTTTGTGCTTTTTGTTACTTGTGTTTTCGTTTTGTTCTGGTTATTATAAATTGTTATTTGTTATTATTAGTGTTTTTTTTGGTATTTAAATAATATCCACCAAAAGACACTAAAAATACATGAGTACAAAAAACAAAAGAATGCAACATGGATGCTGTACCAGCTGTTTTAATAGGACGTTGTATTGTCACATTTCTTTGCAGGACCGGAATTACATTTACCTGTACTTTTTTTACGTTTTGTAGGTTTTTCTCGAAAACGATGAACTTTCGGACATACAAACATTTACTTAATTTTCTTAAAGGTTGCTACTTAATTTTAGAAACACCCTGTATAAATAAATTTATTTCATCCCTATTTTGACTGTGATTTGTTCCAATATTAATACAACGCTAAGAATGGAATCTAAATTTTTTGAATGTTTTCCAAGGAATAAACGAAATGTAGCTAACTGTCACAATAAATACAAGACTATCTCTCATCTCGTATATTGACTATTTAATAGGTGAAGTCATTTCCACACAATCCAAAGAAGTACAGCGTATATGCCTGAATTTGAATATACAAGTGGACAATCCCGTTTGTATTTTAAATCAAGATATATCGCGTAACTTTCTCAACACAGCCGATACAACACAAAAATTTAAATTATTTATGCGAGCCACTCGCTTACAAGCCCTTAAGGAAGAATACAACCAAATCAATGAAAATAAGACTGACGCATTGAGGTTAATGCAGAGCCACGAAGAGGTAGATTATTGTCATTATTGATATTGCAAATAATTATAAAACTTAACTTTTTTCTTGGGAGTGGATTAAAATGGTTCAATTATGAAAAAATTCTTTCTATCTCGAATATTGTTTATTTCTTTAACACATATATTGTGTTACATTTATTCAAAATCGTCTAACTCGGATTTTTTATTTTAAGCCATTTCAAAGAATAAAGTTATCGAAAAAGCCGTAATACGGAAGTTTCATTGCTTTTAGGTTCTTAGAACGCTAAAAGAAAATATTGAACAGCTACAACAGAAACTTGAAAATCACCAATCTATCGTTAAATTACGACAAAAGCTTTCATCAGTGCAACAAGAATTACTTTGGGCAAAAGTAAGTTGGCGTGTTTTATTTTGAAAGTGCATTTGTAATAGAACAAAAATTTAATGGTGGCCAGTTCGAACATAATGCAGACTTTAGACAGTATTTGATGAATAACCGTCAAATGGGTTGAAGCCGATGGGGTGGGGTGAAGTGGATTCTACATATATTTTTAATATTTATGATGCTGCCATCTTCATCTGACTAATTAATGTACATTACGTAGGTTTGTCCCAAATTACGGGTTACTACGTTTATAGCATGTGAGGTTTAAAGTATGAGTCACACATTAGTAGACAGTGGCTAGTAGTTAAAGATAACAGGTAAGAAGGCTGTATTTTTAAAAGTTTGTAATCGCAGCACTACAGATATTTTTTGTTAATGTCTTTCTGTTTACAATAAATTGCAACTTAATCAATATTATTAACTTACTACGACTCTCATAATTTTTTGAAATTATAACCGGGCGCGGTAATCGGCATTTTTTCGATTAGAGGCGTGCTGATGGGGCAGAAAGGATCATGACGCGAAAATATTGCAAGAAGTTAGGAAAAGATGGAAAAGGAGTTATAACATGCAATATCTGCATACAGCAGTAAAACAAATAAAGGGAAGAAGAATGTCGCTTAGAGAAGCATCGCAGACATGCCGTGCCATACCCAAATTTAAAGAAATATGGTTGTCAAACGGTTTTAAATAATGAAGAGGAGAATAAAAATAATTCGATGTGGTCTGTATTCTGTCGAAACTGCCAGACGCGGATCGCGATTTCGATCTTTTTGGATCTCATCAGGGCGTCGCAGGCAGTTTCGACAGAATACAGACCACTTCGAATTATTTTTATTCGATTAAGCTAACGTGCCTATCACGTTGAGGTTGGCTACGCCAGGATTCGTTTTCAGCAAGTGGACCTTGTTGGAGCATACGTAATCCTAAAAATGTAGCATCGTGCTATAGATGGCGTTCACTGCGCCATTTATAGTATTTTGTGAAGAGGAGAATGTTCTTCTGCATGGACTTCTCGAATGTGCTAAATGGGGCTTTCCTTTACAAAAGAGGGATATTTTGAACATCGTTCAATGCTATTTTAAAAGGCGTGGTATACGTATATCGGTTTTCTAATACATTCGCCCGGGAACGGATTGGTTTTCTGATTTTACAAAACGGCGTAGAAAATTAACACTTAAATTTTGTAAAAACATTAAAAGAGTTAGGGCTAGCCTCAATAGACAGACAGTGTCAGAATATTTCAACAATCTTCAAATAAGTTTGAACGGTGTACCAGAGGCAAACATCATTAATTATGATGAAACTAATTTCTGTGATGATCCTGGGATTGCAAAAGTTTTAGTATAGGATGGCGTAAAACATGCCGAAAGGATCATGGATTCGACCAAAAGCAGCACTAGTGTAATAGTAGCTGGTTGTTTTGATGGAACTGTTTTCCCGCCGTACATCGTTTATAAGGTCAAAGACATGTTCATTGGATGGACAGAAGATGGAATAGAGGGTTCTGCTTATAATAGAAGCCAATCGGGGTGGTTTGACTCCAAGACTGGTTCAATAAACTTCTATAGCCTTATTGTATACGATTATATGTTCCAAAAACTATGATTGGGGATAATCTCTCCAGTCATTTAACCATAAATGTCATCCAGTCGTGCATAGAACATAATATTGGGTTTGTGCTCTTACTGGAAAATTCCATTCACATATGTCAGTCACTTGATGTGGCCTTCTTCCAACCACTGAAGCGTGCCAGGCGTAACATTTTGGGAAATTGGAAAAAACAAACAGGGGGGTTGTTCCAAAAACAGAATTTCCAAGACTGCTGAAAATAGTTTTCAAATCAATTGGCTTGAACTGTAATAAAAATTTAAAGGTGGGTTTTAAAGCTTGTAGTATAGATACATCAACAATCAACAGAAGGGGGGAAAGAAACTAAATGTTGCTCCTGGCAAAAGTATTCATTCCGAAGATATTAAATTATTGAAACTACAAATAAAAAGTGGAAGTGACTCTGATTCCCTATTGGTCTCTCCGTAATTTATGACAATATTAGTGAAGCTGCACAATGCCGCATATTTCTGAAAATGATTATGAGATTGGGAATCATCAAAAGCACTTGAAAATAATCAATTGGAGAATACAGAAAATTATAACGTAGAAAATTTTCTGTTGGTTGAGTTCAAAACATATAAGTTGTCAAGATTGTTTGTTGGAAGAATCGAAGAGATGCCAGAAAATTTATTGTCAGATTTTTGAGGAAAAAAGCTACGGAAAAAAGAAATCACCTTTGTATACCCTGATATTGAAGATGTCCGTCCAATTGAAGTTCAAATAATAATGAAAAAATTTTGGCTAGGAAGCTAAAAAGAAATAGATTTATTTTTAAATCAATTGATAGCAGGGTGGAATGTTTTTTTTTATTTTAAAGTAGGTCTTTAATAAGTGTATTTTTTATGATTTTATTTGATTATATAAGAGCAAACTTTTGTTGCGATTACTTTATGAATTATCATTATAATATTGTCGTTTAATAATTTTTTTCAATCCGCTTCGCCCCATAGTTTAAGAACAAAAAAGGCCGTTTCTTAAAACAATTCATTACGCTTTTTTCATCAGTCAATTAAGTAGGGTTTATTGAATTATTTTTAGATTGCCTTTATGCCTAAAATTTGAATAAAATATTAAATTTATATATTTATATTTTTTAAGGTGCGGGATTTAGAACAAGAATTGCGAATTAAAGAGGACGAAGTTGAGAAAATTCAACGAGAATTGAGAAAAAATCAAGATGAAGTTGATTCTTACAATCAAAGAGATCAATTGGTTCAAGAGGAAATCAAGTAAGTGTAAAGAAAGTAATGTTTATTCTTGTCATATTGAATGTTTCTACAAGAACATTGAAATTTTTCTTCATTATTTTCTGCTGTTTAAATGCATAGTAATAACAAACAAATGTCCCAATAAAAGGAAATTCTGTGCTCAATACAGAGTTATGTCCTTGAACCTATATACAACCGACGAGCGTGAGATGTTACCATGAGAACGTATTTTACTGATTATGCATTTTTAGTATTAGGGCAGTTTCGACAGAATACAGACCACTTCGAATTATTTTATTCGATTATGGTAACGTGCCTATCACGTTGATGTTAGCTACGCCGGGATTCGTTTCAGCAAGTAGTTATCCATACAAATGGACCTTGTTGGAGTATACGTAATCCTAAAATGTAGCATCGTACTACAGATGNCCTGTTGTTACAAGGATAATCTTCAATCGAGAGGATTTCCCCTGCCGAATTTGATAGACAAACTTGGACATCGACCCCGCCTGTTGGAGGAGACTACAAGGATGTTTTTATCAGCTAGCCTGTAAGTCTTTGCATTCCTTTTTAATTCCATTGCATCCCTTTAATACGTACGTTAATTGTATAGAGATAGAACTCCTATCAATTCTACAAGTTCAGATAGCGATTCTGATTTAGAAACTTTGGGGGCATTGAAACGAAAACTTGGTTTAAGTAATACTACATTTAGTTCAGTTAAACAAAATATTAAAATGGCTCAGCCCTCACAAAATATTCAGGTGGTTCCAAAAACTTAGCCTATTTTATTAAACAGTCGGAAAGATTTATTTCGTTCTTTGAAAATAAAACCGACGTTAACTGTCTTTTAAATAAGTTACTTTTCGAACAAATTAAGTCAAAGATCGTAGGTGATGCGAGAGAAACATTAGGGTTATTCTACAAACTAAGGACGAAACTGAGTCTGATTTCGGCCCAACATTTTTTGTACATTCTAATTTCGAAATTTAGTCTATTATCAAGAATACAACGTCTTTTAGCCTATGTTAAGTGGAACAGTCAAAATATTTTAAAATTTTGGATTTATGGTCATTTCAAGGAAATCAAGCGGCAGGAAACTGAGAGTGTAACCAAGAAACTGAGGAAAAAAAAATAAAACCAACCGAAATCAACTTTTTAAATTACAAATTGACTTGTCATGTTGGCCATAGACTTGTTTTTTGTAAGATTTGTCTGATTATTGCCTCCAATTTTTGCGAGCTTGTCTTTTTTCACGAGCCGACATTTCAGATACTAGTTTTTTTGCCAGTTTATCTCAATTTTTTATACTCTTGCTTTTTTTTTCTTTTTCAGCCGCTAATCTGTCAGGATCACTATTTATTTTTTCATATCTCAATTTTTCAGCTATCCTTTTTTTTTCTAATATATCCTCCTTAGTCTGTTTATTCTTTGATTTCTGCATTTTTCTTTTAATTTTAATTTTTTTAAACTATCGAAGTTTTGTATGTAACTACACTATCGTTCGTTTTATTATTTTGACTTTATAGTGTATAGCTAAAAAGTTGCAAATTATCTTGCACACAAACAGCATTTAAATATAAACTTCTCAGGACCCTGGATAGTTCTTAGTATTCTGGGTCTCAATTTGACAGGATCCTGAGACCAGGTTCCTGAGAATTTTTAAATAAAATTAAAAAAAACATCGATTAAAAAACATTCAATCAAAATTAAGCAGAACTAAGCCTTGGTGTAAGCAAATTACATATCAAAACGCTAAAATTACCATATTATATATTTATTTAGTATGTAAATATCTTACCAGGATCCTGTGAACTCGACTGATTACGACGCGACTTCCTCTTTTGATTGTGCCAGGCTGACTGAACAACACGCTAGGTGCAAAAAAATAGGTGGTATTCTTTGCCCCTTTTGTAGGTACAATTAACTCAACTGAACGACAACGTCTCTCAGTTAATAGAATATTGAATATTTACTTATTTTACATTGAACAGGATCCTGATATAATACCGTTGGGACAAATTTTGGAAAAGGATTTTATAATATTTTTACGACAATAAAATGATAATTTGTCTCCCAGGCAAGAACATATAATAAGTACTTCTTTATTTTGGTTTCATTTTTGTCCTCAATGTGGTAGTAAATAAATCACATTACACTTTTGATTACATTTTGTTTGAGGGACACTGCAGGTTCCTGAGAATTTGGCACTTTGAATAGTAATTTCGTCAAGAAAATAATTTTAAATCTAAATTATTCTTAGAGACCAACTAGACATAGGTTAGTTTTACAGTATGTTATACAAATAAATTAGTTTGTAACAAATTTTTCAGGATCTTTTAGCTGAGCCGCCGAAAATTCCTTAGTTTGTAGAACTACCCATTAATTATATCTTCTGCTGAAACGTGGACTCAAGTAAAAGATGTTTTAATATCTCGTTTTGGTGATCCGCGAAATGAGGACCTTTTACTTCACGATTTAGTTACATGCTTTCAGTTGTCAAATGAAAGCTATGAAAACTATTATGAACGTATCAGACAAAAACTACAAACATTATTAGAATATGTTAATTTGAGAAATCCAAACGTTGATATCAGGATTTCCAAAACAGACTTTTACACCAAACAAGCTTTAAATACGTTTAAAATAGGTTTGTTAGAACCGTATTGTTCCCATTTATGTAATATAAATCCGTTAACAATAGAATGTTGCTTAAATGAATTGCGAAAATATGATAATAATAGACAACAAGTTAGTTTTATGAACTTTATGAGGAACCGGCAAAAGGCTCCCTTGTTTGCTAAGAAAGTCCCACATGTTCAAAATCAAAGACCTCAATTTAATTACAAACCACAGCCGAATTTCTCTCAGAACATTCAACGGCTAGGACCCATTGTACCTTTTCGATCTCAGTTTCAACCACGGCAACCATTCCCACAACAATCAGTTAATGTACAGTCACGACCAGTACAAATGCATTATCCGACTAATTCTCAAGTTTTCGGGAAAAAGCAAGAATATAAACCCACATCAATGTCTATTATCGACTAGATTTACGCAACCAAAGTCTCAAAATTATTTTGCAAATACAAATACTCAACCTAGAAACTTTATTGCGGAACAACTACATAGAAAATGCGGAAACAGAGGCAGAAAATTTTCCCAACCAGCCTCAACAGTTCGACTTGACTTAAACTCTATCATAAATCAGCCAAAACTATCATTCATTACCATACCACAATTTGCCCTTAAAATTTTAATTGATTCTGGAGCATCAAATTCCATCTTTAATCCCGAACCTGCTCAATAAATATTTTTCTAATAGTTTCTTTTCAAAGCTCTTTACCGTTACTTCTCTAAATAATTCTATTACTGATGATGAATGAATATTAGCTATGCTATGTTACAAGAATACGGCATTAAAACTAACATTAATTTTCATGTAGTTAAGTGGCACAATCAATTCGATGCACTTTTAGGTAGTGAGGACTTTTATAAGTTAGGTGCGAAAATTGATTATTCTAATAAAGTATTGCAAATAGGTAATGTAAAGATACCTTTCTTAGAGTATATAAATAATAATAATTTTAGGCCTTTTACCCAAAAAATTAGCAAAACGATAAAAGTACCCGTTAGTATCCATGAAGGAGAAATTTTAATACCTGAAACCGAATTGGACCAATACATACGAATTCCCGAATCGATAGCTTTTGCAGAAAATGGATTTTGCTTATTACCTTTCGAGGAAGAAAGAACGTGCCAAATTAATTTCAGTCATCCTATTAATGTTCAGCCAGTTTTTAATGTAGAAGTTCGTCAACCTTTCAATCGGCATTCGGACCCTGATCATCTAAATTCGATAAGAATTAACCACTTAAATGAAGAAGAGCGAATTAAAATTATGGAACTGTGTGCGAAATATGAAAGTATTTTCTTTAATGAAAACTGCGATTTATCTTTTACAAATGCTGTTAAACACAATATTAAGACTATTGATGAAGCTCCGGTCTATAGTAGATCTTATCGATATCCTTATCACCTAAAAGAAGAAATACAACGTCAAATACAGAAGTTATTAGATAACAAAATTATTAGGCCATCTATTTCGCCATACTCGTCACCGGTTTGGATCGTTCCAAAGAAACTGGACGCGTCAGGTAGAAAACAATGGAGGTTAGTTATTGACTACCGTAAGTTGAATGATAAAACGATCGAGGATAATTACCCTCTTCCAAGAATTGACGAAATTTTGGATAATTTAGGCAGATGTGTTTATTTTAGTACATTGGATTTGGCACAAGGTTTCCATCAGGTTGAAGTAGAAGAGAAATCGATTGAGAAAACCGCGTTTAGTGTGAACAACGGACACTATGAATACTTAAGAATGCCTTTTGGCCTCAAAAATGCACCTTCGACGTTCCAAAGAGTTATGGACAACATTTTTAAAGAATACCTCTATAAATTCTGTTTTGTATACATGGACGACATACTCATCTTTTCTAAATCTTTGCAGGACCATCTAATTCACATAAAATTGATTTTTGAAAAATTAAAACAGTTCAATTTAAAAGTTCAACTTAATAAATCAGAATTTTTAAAAAAGGAAGTTGTATTCTTGGGTCATGTCATTACATCTCAAGGTATAAAACCGAACCTGGAAAAAATTAAGGCCGTCCAACGCTACCCATTACCGAAAACAACTAAAGAAATTAAAAGCTTTTCAGGACTAGTAGGTTACTATCGACGCTACTTCAAAAACTTTGCCAAAATTGTACAGCCGTTTACCAATTGTTTAAAAAAGGGAACTGTCATAGATGTTAATAATCCGAACTATATCATTTCATAAGTGTAAAGAACTTCTAACCAACGCTCCTATACTTCAATATCCCGATTTCACAAAACAATTTACTGTTACCACTGACGCCAGTAATTACGCCATAGACAAACCGATAGCATACTATTCCCGGACACTTAATTCAGCTGAGCGTAACTGCTCGACTATTGAGCGAGAACTTTTGGCA